CATGCATAAATTATTTTTTTAATTCTTGAATACCTTTTTCCATCAGAGAATTTTTGCATTTTTCATTATCACTATAAAAATCAAGGATAATTTTTTAACTTTTTTTTTTGTCAGTTGTAGGGCTTGAACTCTGGGCCTGTGCACTGTCCTCGAGCTCTTCAGCTCAAGGCGTGCGCTCTGCCACTTGAGCAACAGTGCTTTTTCTTTTTATATGGTGCTGAGGAATTGAACCGAGGGCCTCATACATGCAAGGCAAGCACTCTACCACTGAACCACATTCCCAGCCCATGCAGCATGTCTTTATTAATAAATTCCTCTAAAAGAAATTAAGAAACTCCTTTACAGTGAGAGAAAAACACAGCAACAATAACTAGCACTTATGAATGCCTTTGTGACCTCTGTGTTAATTCTACCTTGAACAGACGAAGAAACTGACATTGTAAGAGATAATCAGAGGACTTGCTCATGTTGGGCCCAGGATAGAAGTTGAAATTCAAATACAAACTAGTTCAGTGCTTAAAGTCCTACCCCTGGCATAACATTGTGCTGTCTTCTTTATTTCTTGACTACTTATAGAAGAGTATCCTAAGAGCATCCTGGTTGTGGCTCTTCTAGATAAAAGAAAAAGCAGTGGCAAATATTTTAATTAAATTACAGCACAAAATTTTAAAGTAGGTAGAAAATGAAAAGTAAATATTATATGAATTCCTTCTATTTTGTTAAAAAGTTACTTAAGCTTTATATTGTTCCATATATAAAAGTCAAGCAGAATTTTAGCAGGCAATTGCCTCAAAGTTATAATCTGTAAAATCTTTCTGTAATGAAACCCATATGTCATGGACGAAAGGTACAAAGCTGTGGCAGAGAGGGCTGGTCTCCAGAGAGAGCCTGCACCCAATCTCGTTAACCAGGGGCCTCTGGTGATCCCTCATCCCCTCCACAGTGAGAAATCAATCTGAACTAGTGAATTTTTTCACCCAGCCACCAGAAAATTTACTGCAAAAAAAGGCAGTTTGGGGCTAGTCATTGTGAAAAGGGAGCCAAAGGCAAGGCTAAATGGAGGATGGAGGAATTAGAGGGTCTGAAGCGATGATATTGAATGCCATGCCACCCTCAGAACAAGCACGATGGAATCCTCCTTTCAGCCCTGACCTCTCTAAGTATACCTAGGTATTTACAGCTGCCATGAACCTGACAGTTCCAGAGAAACTACGAAAAGGAAAACAGAAGCAGCATAAACCTGGAAGTTGATTGCAGTTTAGCCATTTGCTGTCTTTCAGCATAGCATACATGAGATCTAAGATCTCCACAGCTACTCACATGTTAACCCTAGGGTGACAGTACGGTGGCTTTCTAAATTTGTGGTCTATATGCTATATAGGAGGACCTGTAAATCATGACTTGAAATATGCTTCTCATCTGCACAATGCATGATGGTAGCTAATGAACAACGGACCCACCCTGGCATAGTTATTAGAATGGTAGCATTGTGGTCACCGAATTCAACCTGGTGTTCCTGGACAATAAAATCAGAAGCAAAAGTAGCTACCAGATTTTAACAACTTTGGATAAAACTATTTGACCATCTTGTTTTCTCTGAGTAACCCAGGGCTTTGTGGGTGCTAAGTAAACCCTTGAACCTCTGAGCTACATCTGCAGCCCCTAGCATTGTTTTCTGGAGAGAAGGGTGGAAAGAAAGCATGCAGGAACTAGAAGTGCCAAACTCAAGAACAGAGGATCTTATTGTGGCCATTTATGCCAGAATAAACTAAGCTTTAACTACTGGGAAAAGGAAGGGATAGAAGTAGGCAAAGCCATTCTTTCTCAGCTATAAGAGTTGAAGGATTTCCCCAGGAAGATCTGAAAGCTCTAATGTGAGTTATTATAGTAAAAAACACATACAAAACACCTACTAGGAGAAAGAGAGAGTGTGTGTGTCTGTGTGTGCACATGCATACCTGTGCATGCACGCACACACACATATGCTTGTGTGCACAGGAATACAGAACAGCAGCAGAAGGCTGTCTTCCTGCTTCTAATGGGATTTTGTAGCAGCATTTGCGAGTTTGTTTTAGAAGTCAAAAATGAACAGATGTTGGTATTAAATTACCTCTGTGTCTGATGTCTTGCAAATTAAAAGCGCGGTTGGCATCGCTAAACAATTTCACTAGGTTTGGGGGTGGGGGGGGGTGTCTAGCGGGCAATGATTACTATACCAGGTCGGGAAGGATCATCACACTGCAGCAGAGCAAGAGAGCAAGGATAGAGAAATCAAGAATAAAATAAGGGCTATACGAATTAATCAGAAATGTTAACATCCCTGATGACAAGTGAACAGGAGGGCACGTGCTCTTGAGCAGCCCCTGGCCTGCAGCAATTTCTCTGTGCACAAAAAAGGGGTTGGTGCTTATGATCTGATTTATAAGGCACAGCCCTCTTTTAGGGAGCGGCTGTGTCACACATTCGTATATCTCCTATATGGGACTGGCAAGAAGGGAAACTTTCTCCCCTCCCATTCAGGAGATGATGTCTTTTGAATTACTTCTACTTTTACAGTGGTTTCCTACAGCTCTGTATACTTGGATTAGGTTGAAGGGGGAGGAATGATTGAGTGGAAAGGGGGTTGTTAAAAGGGATTGGTTAAATGCAAGAAGAGCTTACTTACCACTTTTTATTTTTCCTTTTCAGCCTTTGAGTTTCAAATAGCTGAGTCTTAAAAATAGAACTCTTTAAATATTCTAAGTTTCTCTCCTATTTTGGAGCAAACAGTATTGGGAGGTTTGAAGGGCAGTGGGCAGAAATCACCAGTGAGATCTGTGCCTTCCTCTTAAGCCCAGAGTTTAGGACCAAGGCTCTCTTCTCTCCTGCAGAGTTCTGTGTCAAACATGTCTGCTTTCTAGAGAACCGTGTAGTAGGATCACTTGATAATCTATATGTTATAAGAAATAGGTAGGTAATCCATTCAGCAGAAGTAACTGATGAAACCCACTCACTGTACAAAAGTGTGAGTAAACCAATCGGCTAACTCTCAGGAGTTGGAGGCAGGAAAATCTGGAAATCAAGGGCAGCCTGGACTATACAGTATGACCTTGTCTCAGAACTGCAAAGCTAAATAGATAAACAAAAGTATAAATTCCTATAGGATCAGACTGATACTGAGAATAAGAGAACTGCTTACTTACCTACTCTGTAAAGGGTTATGTTAATGAGGGCCACTGTTGCCAAGAATAGTGATTGCAAATATCCAAGTGAAAAGCAGGACAGAAAACATTAACATGTTATTTTGCAGATGAAGAAGGTGAGGTTCAGAGGTATTGTCCAGCTACAAATTGCTATAGCTGGAAGTAAAAACTGAATTTAAATCCTGTATTCTCTGAAAGAAGTCCTTGCTGCCTCTTCATGGGCAAGAAAGTACTTGATTGGATTTCCTCTAGAGTGGTTAGCCCTTGACCCCTAATCTCCCCATTAATTTGGAATTACTTCCATCAAGAGAAATGACTTTTCTTGCTAAATAAGTTACATTAAAAAGACTCCTACAATGTAGACAATAGAGCACCAAGTGCCACTAACTAGTCTTGTATTTTTTTTTTAAAAAAAGGAAACTAACATATGTATATTCCCACTTAGTTCTAGTTCTTTTGTTTCTTAACATTTTAGTGAAGGAAGAAAGCCAAGTTTGTAAACAAATAATTGCATGCAAGTCTTACAGAAACCTTGAATATACCAAGTTTGGTATATATCCACCAAGAAAGGAATAGTCAGTTGGATTTAGGATGGGGTAAAATTATGAGTATTGAGACAAGACCCAGGCCTGGGGCTTCTATTCCTAGTGAATGGAATTTCCTTTCCCTTGTTGGAACTCAGAAGTGAGAGAGAACTGGGAAATGTATGGATGAAAATTACCAAAAGCCTTCCTGTGATGATAGTTTATATAGTCTTCATTATTGTACTGATAAGCAAAGAACTGGTAAGCTAGGGAAAAGGGGTGGAGGGGCTATTCCTGTTGCATCATTTGCTTGGGAAAAGGCAACCACAAGGCAAAGGCCCTTCTTACTCCTGCCAATAACTCCTAGGCCACCTCCCTTTTTTAGCAAGTATCATGACATGTTCTTGGGAAACCATAGGACACAACCTCCCCTGTGCCCACTGCATGGTACCAGAAAAATTCTGACCTTCTAACACCTTCTAACACAGTTCAATCTGTTAAAAAAAAAAATAACCTTGTGAGATAAGTATGGAGGGGTTATGCTTAGAAAACGTGTCTAGAATTTGCTTGATAAAGCTAAAAATGGGTTGGGGGGAGGCTCTTATAATTGAGAATGTTTTACTTTGGAGCTATATATATATATATATATATATATATATATATAAAGTAGCTGTATAAACTCCCTGGTAACTACAACATTCAAAGATTGATGGTTCTGAAAGTCAGAAAAAGACACATAAACCTTACCTGGATATATTAAGTACCTAAGGACTGACAATGCTAAGAGAGAGAAGACCAAAGCTCTATAAACTCTACTTTATTACCCCATCCACAGATCAACTGCACTGAGGGAATATAAACCCTGTTATATTACAGCATGCCGGGGCTACTACCACTAAGAGATGGGGTACATGATCCCTGATTTTGATTGGGGATCATAAATGTACAGAGCCCAACAACCAAGAGAACACTAATCTTGGTTGGTTTTTAGCCTCTAAGAGTAAACTTTGTGAAAAAGATGTCTAAAAGGAATTCCCTGGTGATTTTTGTGAGGATAGATGCTGAAGTCTTTCCCGTTGCCTGTACTTCATAGCAGTAGCCAACTTTAGAATCACTTTGTGCAGTTTTAGCTGTCAATAATCATTTGCCCCTTTTCAGTTAGTGATGGCTGAATCTGTTGTGAAGCAATTTAATCAATCTGCGTTTTTTTTTTTAAGTTGAACCTTCCTGTGATCTCCCCCCCCCACCCCCCATTTCAGGTTCTCATTGATCTTTTGTTGCTTTGTCATTCCAGCCAGAGAGATGACACGGGGGAAATTTCTCAACATTCTAGAGAAGCCCAAGAAGTAGCAGCTGCTTGTGGACAAGTATCCTGGAAACGGAAACAAGCTCCTTTCCCAGTGCAGCTCTGCACACTTCACGCTTCCTCAGGAGAGGCCAGAGACTGACCCTCAGGACCGCCTGCTCCCCTGCTCCTGGCACTCTTGTGCCTCTGAGGACAGTCAGTGGCAAGAGAAGAATCTGCTCTACCCAAGGATCGTTACCTTTACTCAGTTAGCTGTGTAGCCTGAGGTATTGGTAATGCTGGAGGTTTCATCACTCTTAAGGCCAACATCGTACTCCTGTGTCTGGAAGTGATTCAGGATCTTCCAGTCAATTTGATTCCACAGTGGCAGAATCCGTGGTGACATGCTGATTGGATGGGTTCTTTTGAGTTGTATTTGGCTTCTTAGGAAGTGTTTATGATGTGAAGAGACTATGTCCTGACCTTGAGCTTTCTAGTATGTAAAAGGTTCCACGACTCTACAGCTGGAGAAAACAGACTCTTCTCGAAATGTCTGATGCTTTTTATATTCTGCACCTCTCGCCACTCCCACCCTCATCAATTCCCACCTCCCAGTCCCACCTTCTGATCTAACTCCAGGCAAAGGACCCCTGAGGAGTTGAGTCCCTTCTGGAGTTTGCTTATCAAGGCACAGGCCCAGGCTAGGTCACATTGGGTTCTAGAGCTCAAGACCAATAGGAAGGTAACAAAAAGGACTTTTAGTTCTAGTTAATTTGTTAGGGATTGAAGCAAAAGAGTCATTGTGGCCTGCTAGAGCAAAGGGCATAGCTCAGGGAGGGGAGACTGTTCCCAGTTGGTTGAAAATTTCACCAAGCATGTGCTATGGGATGGTGGCAATGTTTTGTTTCACCTTTTCTCCTCACAACATGTATCTGATATCCCCCCTCCCCCCCCCTCACACACACACAAGAGAAATAGAATTTCCTGACCTAAATATAGATTCCATAGGTAAAATTAATTACACCTGTTTTCTCATGTTTTGAGAAGTACATAGATTTTCATAAACTTTATGGAAAGAATCGCCCTGTGACAGTAGTCCAGTGGGACACAGGAAGTTACAGTCAAGTTTGTGCTCTGAGTCTGGGCTAGAGCATCGTACTCTGTCATGTACATCTGTGCCTGTTTCTCATAGTTGACTTCATGTTGGGCTTTCTCCTCAATTGTGTTACTTGACTATAAACACAATCTTATTTTTTGAAAGGAAAATCACTTAAGCACATGACACACAAGATGAGTATGAGAAAGGAAGGAAGATGCAGCTGGGGTGTACCCCGGAGGGGTAAGTTGTAGAGGCACTGCTTTTAAGTTAAACATGTGATCACCATTTCTTGGCTAAATGCAATTGAAGTATGTGTGTGCATGTGGCCAGAGAATAGTGTCATAATGTCAGATTATTTCTTTGCCCTGTTTTCAAGAGTTGATGACATCAGGTACCTTTAAATTATTTGGGGAAATGGAGAAGTAAGCAAAGAATACTTGGTCACTGCCCCCAAACCAGTTTAAGTCAACAACCAGAAGCCAGATGTGCTTTGGCTCCTTTTACTGTCATCTTATCCACCAGCACTTAATGTAGGTAGATATTTTAGGATTGTGATATTTATTGGGCTTGTATTTGTCCTTAGAAATGTTAATGATGTATTTTTATATTGATAATATAAATTTATGTACAGTATATATGTGTGTATGTATTTTGGGATGTTAGAAGATTGTATTTTGTATGTGGTGTTTTCTGTGTCTTCATAATAAACCTGTATCTTGTACAGGAAAGTGAGTTTTTCTTTTTTCTTTTAATTTAATTTAATTTTATTTGTGAACATACTGTACAGAGGGGTTACAATTGCATGGGCAGGATAATGCGTACATTTCTTACCAAGCATTGCAGCCCCCTCCTTTGTTTACCCTTCCCATCCCTTCCCAGCCTCCCCCCTCCCCCCAGTGAGTTTTTCTTTAAAGGGTGAAGTTGTATTATTTAAAAGATGGGTCCTGCCAGGTGTTGGTGGCTCATTCCTATAATCTTAACTACTTAGAAGGCTGAGATCTGAGGACCGTGGTTCAAAGCCAGCCCAGGCAGCAAATTCCATGAGATTTTGCATGTCATTCTTCCACAGGGGCCAGGCTAATCTCTGAATCATTCTGATTTTAGTATATGTGCTGCCAAAGTGAGCACTTGTGAGACTCTTCTGCCCAATTAACCACCAGAAAACTGGAAGTGGTGCTGTGTCTCAAAGTGTAGAGCACTAGCCTTGAGCAAAGAGCTGAGGGACAGCACTCAGGCCCTGAGTTCAAGATAAATAAATAAAACCATAGATCTCATCAAAAAGTACAACTATAGTGACAAGTTACCTACTATCTTCCCCCTTAATATCCAGGTAGATGGTTTAAGGCGTAAAGTCTCTTACTTAGTCTTCTAGCCTGCAGTCTATCCTACCAGCCATATTGCTCATTACTGCTTATTACCCCAAGTCTTGATAGGGGCTTTTAGAGACCTTGGATACTCCCTGGGTCTACTGATAACCCCCAGATCTTCTCTGGCATTTTAAGTCTATTCATGTAACTCCTAACTGACTTCCAGTTAGTTTCCTTCCTCTCCTGTATATGAAGTCTCTGTTCCAGTTACTCTGAACAATTTGCAGTTCCTTACCTGAGTACCTTTGCCTGAACTATTGAATTCCCAGAAAGCCATATTCCCTTTTGTACCTATCACACCTGTTCTTCTGATAAATTCCTAATGACACAGCTAGAAATGACTCTTCCTCCCACATGCCTACAGCATATAGGTGTACCATCCCTATGATTCGCCACACCTTACCTCAGACATAAGTACTGATCTGGGTCCAGAGCTTATTGTACCACACAGTCACAAGTTTCTCAAAGTTACTGCTCTCTCTCATACATCTAGTTCTTTGGTGCCTTCTATCTGTTTGCAAACTTCAATTAAACATGATGGATTAAAAACTGCCACCTACTAAATCCTTGATGTGAGTTCCTTTTCATCTCTGTGCCAGACATAGAGAAGAGGAAACACTCATTAGTGCCCCTGCCACCACCCACTGATGCTTGACCATGCTCTAGCCAGAGCATGGCCTTCTAGAGAAAATGGTCCATTATAAGGAAAACAAGTGTCTAGTTAGCTCACAAAAAAGTTTATGAGATACAAATTGTGTATTAAAACGCCACTTTTTCTTTCTTACCCTAAAAGATTTTTTAATAATTTTTTTCATATTTTGTGTGTATATGTGCCAGTCCTGGAGCTTGAACTCAGGGCTTGGGCACTGTCCCTGAGCTTTTTTTGCTCAATGCTAGCACTCTAACCACTTGAACCACAGTTCCATGTCTAGCTTCTTCTGGTAGTTAATTGGAGATAGGAGTCTCACAGTCTTTCCTGCCCAGGCTGGCTTAGAACCTCAATCCTCAGATCTCAGCCTCCTGAGTAGCTAGCACTACAGGCAAGAGCCACCAACACACAGCTATATCATAATTTTTAACATTTTAAATTTTTTTTGGGGGGGTCCGGTCGTGGAGCCTGAACTCTGGGCCTGGGCGCTGTCCCTCAGCTCTTCAGCTCAAGGCTAGCGCTCTACCACTTGAGCCACAGCGCCACTTCCGGCTTTTTTTTTTCTTTGCTTATGTGGTACTGAGGAATCGAACCCAGGGCCTCAGGCATGCGAGGCAAGCGCTCTACCACTGAGCCACCTTCGCAGCCTAACATTTTAAATTTAAAGGACACTTGCTGACGGCTTCTTGGTATTTCTCAAGCTTCTTATTTATTACAGATCTAGAATCATCCGAATCGACAGTGAAAATGCAACTGGTAAATTGATTTCGTTGTCCTTGCGGCTTCAGAAGTGTGTTTGGACTTCTGTAAGAGCTTTGTAATAAAGGCCAAAAAAAAAAAAAAAAAAGATTTCCTTTGGGACTAGGGCGTCACAGAAAAATGAATGAAACAGGACATAAAATAGGAAGACAGGCCAGGGTAGATGGTCCAAATTAACGTAATTTCTTGGCAGCTCTCAACTTTGCCTTATTCCATCTTCAAGCATTTGGTTATATTCTCCATTTTCTGTTTTTCTTTGTGATTGCCAAGATTCCCAGATTTCCACTTGGGCTTCATTTCACCAGTGAATCTTACCAGGAAGGCTGACCAACCTATAACTGGGTAATTTAGACTTTTTGGGCCCTTTAGTAATATGTCCTTAGGCATATTACTGAAGAGGTCACCAGCTATGCCAGGCACTAGTGGCTAGCTCTTCAGGTGGCTAGATCTGAAGATCATGGTTCAAAGCCAGCCCAGGACATGAAAGTCTGAACTCTTATCTCTAATAAACCACCAAAAAGCTGGATGTGGAGCTGTGGCTCAAATGGTAGAGTGCTAGCCTTGAGCAAAAAAGCTCAGGGACAGCTCAGGGCCTGAGTTCAACAAGCCCCAAAACCAGCACAAAGTGAAGGAGGGGGGGGGGAAGGAGGAGGAGGAAGAAGGAGAAAGGAGAAGAAGAGGAGGAAGAGGAGGAGTCTATCACTCTTCCTACTCTTTGGCATTGTCTTCTAGACACGAGGATATTTGGGGATTTGAGGTGGCACTACATGCAACTGTGAGACCACTGGTTGGCATGGCAGAGCCTGTTAATTAGCACAGGAACACCCTGATGCTCCATTAGCCAGGCCAGGCATTCGGAACTCTCCCCTCCTTGGGGCCCCTTGTTCCTAATGAGAGCTGGAGAAGGGCCTCACAAAACATTGCCTCAGAATAATATTCCGCTTTGTCTCTACCAGTAACCAGGGCTGACAGGATCACTCTGTCCATTTCTCTCCTAATTAGCACAATTCCAGCACGGCCTGAGCCAGCAAATGGAGAAAAGCGATCAAAAGCGATCGGACAACCGTACCGAATCACAAACACAAAGAGGGCCGTTCCCTGTAATTAGGTGAGACAATTCCTCAGTCTTTTCTCAGCTGGAGCTTGCTGCTAAGACTCTGGTTGTTTGGGTCCCAGAAACCCAAGTTACAGGTCTCCCTAGGACACTAATAAGCCCCAAATTGTCTTCCGCTTCACACAACCCTAACCAGAGGACAGATGCAGGAGTGGGGGGGGGGGAAGCAGTGAGGCACTGGGGCCAGGGTCTCTTCAACAAGCAGCCACCATGAAGTTCCCCAACTCCAAGAGGCAGACACTGGTTTTCCCCAACTCCAAGGGGCAGATACAGGCTGTGAGCAGAAAGAAGAGAGTTTGTTCCAGAGGAAAACTGCACTGGAATCTGAAACACTGGGACTTTTGACCTTCTGGAAAGGTCACGCTGCTATTTGCTTTGCCTTGCCTTGTTCTTTCACCGCCTTTCTCTTCAAAGTCTCCTTACTGGTCCACACTGGTGCACTGAAGTTCTGTGCATTTGGACTCTATTCTCCAAGAGTTTATAACCTGTAGAGGGCACCTTAATTTATAGCCCCTATCACTTTGGGTACAATTCTCCAACCCTCACCTACCTCCTGAATCTCGTGATCCCTCTCTGCTTTTTAAAATAGAGAAGTGGCCAGCCACAGCCAGGAAGAAGCCACAAAGGGCCTCATTCCATGTGGCTTAAGAGTTTGGCCCTTCGCAAAGAAGGATCCCCCAGAATCATAGCCCATTATAGGGATCACTTTGGGTCCTGTAGTAATAATGATTAACTCAGTCATAGCCAGCAATAAAAGAATGCAGGGGAGAGGGGCAATGGGAACCTCAAGCAAAATCTCTGAGCAGAAATGGCTCGCACAGATTTTCATCTGAATTATGCGCTCTATTTTCTGACTTGATCTATACCTGATGCTTTTGAAAGTGATTTCCAGTAACTAGAAAACTCAATTATGTGAAACCTAAGGAACTAAGATTCTCATGTAATCCAAGTTGTGTTGCTGTTTTTCCACCTTCCCTGTCTGAGACAGAGAGGTAGGACAAAACTTAACTATTTTATTTCGTGCCATTAATGGGGATTAGACTCCACTTGAGTGCTGTCCCTTAAAGGCATTCTACCACTTGAGCCACATCTTCACTTCTGGCATTTTGATGAGTAATTATTTTAAAATAAAGATAAGGGGCTGGGAATGTGACTTATGTGGTAAAGTGCCTGCCTAGCATGCATGAAGCCCTGGGTTCGATTCCTCAGTACCACATACACAGAAAAGGCCAAAAGTGGCTCTGTGGCTCAAGTGGTAGAGTACTAGCCTTGAGCAAAAGAAGCTCAGGGACAGTGCCAGGCCCTGAGTTCAAGCTCCAGGACTGGCAAAAAAGATAAAATAAAGATAAGAGTCTCTTGATCTTTCCTTCCTGGACTGGCTTTGAAGCACAATCCTCAAATCTCAGGCTCCTGCATAGCTAGGATTAGCTAGGTTTGAGCCACTGGTGAAACAACTTTTGGGAGATATAAAAAGAATGGGTCCAAATCTGTCCAGTCTCCTAACTTTCTAGCCCAGTGTAATGATAGGCACAC